GTGCAAACAGTTTTTAAAGATGTGTGTGCTCGTTTTGTAGTTTGCTTCAAAAAAATCAATGCGTCTACCCTCACACACCATTTTCTTAAGCATTTAATTGAATTTGACACATTGTGAATTCTGCCTTTTTGCAGTTTGGGACATTTTACAAAAAGGTACATACAAAGATTGAGATTTTCTTGTGGTGTTTTTACTTACATTTGGATCATGAAGCCGAGGGTACTAATGAACTTATATCCAATCAATCAATCAATCAATCAATCAATCAATCAATCAATCAATCAATCAATCAATCAATCAATCAATCAATTATAATGATAATAATAATAATAATAATAATAATAATAATAATAATAATAATAATAATAATAATAATAATATCAATGCCTTATAGTATTATTACTGGTATTTATTGTTACTATTAGTTTTACCATTCTTATTCAATAAACTGTCAGCCCCGTACCAGGGTCCCATAAGTCTGAATTTTTTCAAAGTGTCAACGCCGTACCAAGGTCAAGAAAGTGGGAAAATTTATTGCAAAAAAAAAAAATCATCCCACAGAGCTGGGACCATTTTAGCCCAGCTCAGGGTGTATAAGTTTGGATGTTTAGGGGTTAATTTCCCCTTGCAGATGCTTATTTCTATAGGTTGGTTCCATGGGGGCTCTCTCATCCTCCTATTAGCTCAGATTGAGCCCCTGCTGGGTAAGAAATCTGGCTTTTTCCCGGGCTCCCCAAGAGGCTGTGAGGGAGCTACAATTGTTCTAAGTATTGCCGTGGCATGGATAGGAATTAGGGGTTAAAGGCCTAGCTGCATCAGCCACTGGAGGCAGAGAAGAGACCCAAACAGCATTAAACATCCGGGACCCTGGTACAGCGTTGGACTTTAGTTTCTAAGTGTACACTCCATATCCGGGGTCCGAGAGCCTGCTGTTTCGCACTGCTTGGTTTAGTCCATGGGGCGGTGCTTAAGAGTTGCTGGAGGTGCAGGTTCCTGGAGGAGACAAAGGGTTTTTTATTTGCCAGGATGAGAGTTGGTGGTTTTCCCCTGGATGTGATTGATGATGCAGAGTGGGGGAGCTGGGAAACGGTGGTGCCGATGATGAGGCTTCTTATTAGTTTGACTAAAACTGAAATTATTATGATTACCAAAAAAGTATG